GAATCCCCGCTCGACCAATAAAATCATGCGAATCTATCAAGCGAAGACCGTTAAAGTACTCGGGGACAATGCAGCGTCGCCGCGCAAGTCCGAGCGGTGAAACCTGCTTCAAGATTTTCGACAGCCGAGTCTTCTCCGCGGCTTGGCTGACCCGATTTCCGCGCCCAGCGTACGGGCCCCATCGATGTCCTTGACCGAGGAGAGGCCGCGCTACTGGGCACGGTGGTGGGGGCAGATGAATACTCAGAGTGTACGAGTATTGGTGTAGTACATGAGCGGACAATGCGTGTACCGTTAGAAGACGCTTATGAACTTGCCTGCCCACCGCTGCTCCCTAGTCCCGCCGCTCTGCGCCCCCCCCCCCCCCCCCCCCCCCCCCCCCCCCCCCCCCCGCTCAGGTCCACCTATCTCTTTCTCTCACTCTCTCTCCGTCTCTCTCTGCCCCTTCTTATTCAACTATCAAAGATTAAGCCGAGTAATTGGGTCAGTGATTGATCGGCCCTTTCGTTTTGTAAATTGTTAAGAACTTTTTTGCGTCTTAGCTTACCGGACTTGGGCCATTATCTTCTTGTTTTTCCTTCGAGCGTCTGCTCTACATGCCGATACACTGTAACTGTTTACATATACGCAATAAGCGCTACTTTACAGTACTTGTGTACGAAGACTTACTTCTTTTTTAAAAACAGGAGTAAGATTTCAACCATTTTCAAGCATATTTCATCGACATTACGAAGCTGCTAATCTCTTTTGCTAATTTCATTTGTTTTCCAATGGATAATTAGTTTCTCTTCCGTTTCTTTCTTTTCTTCTTTTAATATTATTTCTTTGTAATAATCCCACAGTATCTCGTAAATATTTCATTTATTTTACAATCACTATCTTTCACTCGATAAAGATCGTAATTTTTGCTTGTAATTAATTAGTAAATTATCATCATTATTGTTGTCCATATAATTATCATTATTATTGTCATTATTATTGTTGTTATATTTGCTAATGTGTTAACGTATTAACATTATCGGCTGATTGTGCTCGTAGGATTTTATTATAAATATCTGCGTGCGCAAGATCGTAATTACTTTAAGCTATAATAGCATGCAAAAGTATAAACTACAATGATGGTTAAACGATTGTGTCTTCGTGAATTTATCTGGAGCGCATAGAACGTAGTAGCAAAAGTCACGAACGCGCAAGTTCTCTAATCCTTATTTAAATCACTGGCAACTGTGGAATTCCATTCGCTCTAAGTCTGCCCGTATTCCCTCTCTTTATAAATACAGCCTAATAATCTGGAGGAAGTCCATGCGCAACAGTGACATCGATATCCATAAAAACGACTTGGCTCGCTCGCTCCCGAAAAATCTCCCTAAGCACTCCCCCGGCACTTCTCACGGACCCATAAGAACCCAAGTGGAATGTCGAGATCGCGCTCGGTCATTCGTTAAAGGCGCGTCTTGCTTGGATTCACGGGGAATTCCGTGGTCCAGTCGAGGGAGCGGCGATCGATTTATAAACGCCACGAAAAACATTCGAAAATTCGTGGATTCACACAATGGGATAAGTAAGACGATATTCGCGGTGAAGCGAATCGGTAACGCATGCGCAAATCTACACAAATACCATTCTCGAGCGCCCATTCCTTCCTAATCAGCTTTTTGATAAATGGCCGTAGCGAGTGAACCGTAATTAAAAGTAAGCTAATAAGGTCCCGGAGATATTGTAGTCCTGATAAGTGGCAAGTGCTTGAGAATCGGGAATTTTCTCTTACCTCCGAGATTTTGAAATTCCCGTGCTTATTGTTAATGCTTGAATTTGATGTAAAATTGTGAAAATGCATTACAAAAAAAATTAACTTCACATTATTGTTTAACGAGTTTTTTTTTTTTTTTTTTTTTTTTAACACTATTAACATTATAATTGGTCGTTTGTGTTAGTAACACTCTATTTGAATAATTCTTTTTGTCAAATAATAATTTCACAAAACAAACAAAATTAGAGAGTGTTCCAAGTGTTAAAAAAAGCAAATTACTATCTATTTATCGATATATACATATACATATATATATATATATATATTATGATTTTTGTTTTTATTTTTGTTTTTCCGTGTTATCTGTTGACATTTATTTCTAAGTGTAATTGAAAATTGTGTCTTAAGAAAGAAAAACATGTACTGGCAGATTTTATAAAAACATAATGTAGAATCTCTTAAAAATACATGTAAATGCTAAAATCTAAAAACTGAAAAGAAAGAAAAAAGTTGAAAAGCCTCTGTAATATTTGTTTCTTGTTTAAGAATATACAGGTGTAATGTAAAAATACAATATAAGTAGATATTTGAAAATATAGTATTCATTAAATCAAATCAATTAAGGCACTACAAGACTTCTAAGAATCGTTAAAAGCTTAAAGTGTTTAAAATGATGAATCTCTAGAGGATATGAAAAGCGAACAAATATTGAAAATTTATGAGTAAGTATTGGAGTTATTGTTATATTGGAATGATTTTCTCTCTCTCTCTCTCACTCTCTCTCTCTCTCTCTCTCTCTGTACAATGTATTATACGTACAAAGAAGATCGACTTCTCCAAGACTTCTATTTCCTTTCACAGTTGACGCATGACAAATATATGGGTTATCGTATTTAAATACCAGAACTCGTTCCTTTCGAAACTATGGATAATATTTTCCGTTCTATGATTCATGCTCTAATCATTTGGTATATCTTTTTTTTGTTTTTTTTTTTTTGTTTTTTTGTTTTTTGTTTTTTTGTTTTGTCGTATAATATGTCGTAACAAAGCTATAATTAAATCAATGAGGAAACTATAATTTCGCGAAGGAAAAATTTCTTGACAATTCAAAGCTTCCTTCACGCAAAACTCTAGATTAGTCAAAAAGAAAAAGAAAAAACGAAAATCCAAGTCGATAAAATATGTCTCTCCCATAAATCTCTTCATCCGCCTCTCCCAGAAGCCAAGTCGATTGGGACCAAAACCAAACTTACAGCCGCAGATTATCACCTCTTCGGAGGATCCCGAGGACAGCCGAAGGAAGTTTATTTGAACGGTACCCTGTCTTTGCCACTAAACAGTAGTAAAACCGACTAGAGTCCGTAATAAGGACGGCATTCTTCGCGGACGATTTGCCTAGAAGTAAGTTTTTTCTTTATTTTTTCATTTTTCATTTTAAGGGAAGAGAGGTATTATCCCTAGTTACATACTATCTGGCGTTAGCGTCCGTAGAAATTCCGGCGGCGAATGGTAAGGAACTTTTTGCTCGAGGCCGCGAGCCAACGCTTCACTTGGGCGGGCATTAACGAAAATTCATACGTAACTATATACGTGACGATGGCGTAGTTAGAAGAGAATTTGTTTGCGCTTCAAAAGCGGGATTTTCCTTTACAACGGGAAACTTTCGACTTGATTATATGCATATCATAATAATTTACTCGAGCCATTGAAAAGGATTTAAAGCAAATACATGATTGTACGTGCTTACTTTTTTATAATATTTTTCATCGACAGCTCTAGTTGAACTGAAAATTTATTTCTACTCGTAAAACGATCCTTCCTGCGTCTTATCCTGATCGGTGCAAAAAATTCGTGCTTATAAATTTTTATGAATTTGAATATTTCAAAGGATTGAAGATAATTAAGAATAATGTAACTTGGCAGAAAAAATTACACCTCTCTTACATAATCGTAGGCTTTTATATCGGGACTTTATATTAGTGTAATTCCATGATATTATATAATAAATAATAATAATAAAGTAATAATAATAATTTGTCCAATCAAAGTAGGTAATTTGATCGCCGTAAATAAGTTGCGTGAAAATTGATACGCACATTGGACAACATGAATGGACGTTGAATTATTCATAAATTGAATACAACGTGGTAGGATCTTTTGCACTCTAAGTATCAGTTCTAATTAAAATTAAGAGATGAACGTAAGGATTGAGCTCATTTAAGTGTCCATCAAAAAATCGAGCAGAGAATCAGATAATTTCGATTAATTGATAGTAACTTTTAAGATGCGATTTCATAATATCTTGCATAAATTGCCACTACTTGTAAGAACGAACAACTTAATAATCGAGAGAATATTTGAACTTTATGCTTTGTTTTGTTTTATTTTGTTTTTTTTTTTTTGTTTATTTTTTGTTTCAAACAATTATTAATGCCAAAGCTTTTGAATATTTAATCATTGATGTGAATATTCAATCGATCAAAGAGTCCTATTTATTCTCGATTAACTTTTAAACTCGTGAATGCTGTCCCTTTCACTCCCTCATATCTTTATGTATTTCATGACATCTAAAATTACATTATTTAATTATTTTGACAATGTCGAATGATCGATGAAGTACACTCGTTAATCTCTACCACCTTTTTCGTATTAATTTCTTCTTTTTTTTTTCACCTTGTATTTTTAATCTTATCTCGTTGTATTTTTTGTTCTCTCCACCAACTATCTTACGATTTTATCAATTTTACCTCGGGACCAATATAATTGTATTCGATGATCTTAATATCTTCTTAAATAGGACGAGTACGCGATATTCAAAATACAATTTACAAGGAAGTATCCGCGCACGAGACATTAATTTACCACAAACACGTTCTGCTCCTAATAATTCATCGCGGCGAATAGTAAGTGCCCGCGGAAAGTTATCACAATCGTTGCGGAACATCATCAGCAAGCAGAGGCGCAGCCTCGACTTTCCGGAAAATGAGTCTACTCCCATTTCAGTCGACAGTCGGATGAAGAAAAAGTCAATATCTCATTGGGATCGCCGTTGGCGCATGTTTCGCTCGCGCGCATCAATCCGTCAATATGACGGACCGAAGTAAACAAACGCCGCCGGGCGAGTAAAAAGTCCGAGATATGGAACGCTGACTACCGACATGCAGCTGGATTATCGCATAAACAGCAGCGGCACGGCCAAGGATGAAACCAAAGAATCCTCTTTATCGGCATTATCGGCATTCTTACTCACCGCAGAATGGCACGCCCTCGGGGGTCCAGGATCCGTCCTCCTGGCACTGACGTCTTGCTGGGCCCAGCAGCTCGAAACCCCGCTCGCATGTGTAAGTGGAGACGGTGCCGGGCTCGAAGGGCGTCGTCAGGACGCCGAGGGGCCCGTCCTCCTCGTCCATCACGTCCTCGATGCTGCCCCCGCTGAAGCGCACACTGCTGTGCGCAGGCGCGCCTGGGTAGCCGCAGCCGCTGCTCGCCCCCGCATCTGAAAGCAAAACCAACGGTCATTCGCTTGCACTGCGTCGCGAATTAGCCTTCGAAACCTTCGACTGGTAATCTCGAAGCCGATCGCCCTCTTACGTGCGAATGAACGGCGAATTCACGACGCTAACGGTAGAACACGGATATCGCACGCCGATGGACCACAAAGGACCTTGCGCACTGTCATTTTTGCTGGCGTTACGTACGTCCTGGCTCCTGCACTCTCCCGACCGCGAATCGTTATTCGGGATCCGTTCGTTCGTGAGATTCGTGAAAAATAGAGGACGGATTTTCTTTTATTAGATCGACGGCAAATCAGTATGTTATTATTGCTTATTAAAATCTTATCATTTTGTCGAGAGATCACGGGGAATGTGATGCTGGTGGGGCAGGGCTGTGATGCTGTGGCGCGCTCAAAGGAGATGCGTAAATGACTTTCTTGGAGTTTTGATTTGTAAAGTTTTGGCGTTTGAGTTAAAATGAAAAGTATATAGAGTTACGTTATAACCGGAGCTATCAGAGAATTGTAATACAAGTGTAAAATCTATTATACGGTTATTCACTCCGATGATGTAATTCGTCATCCCATTGTCTACATCTCGTACTCCTATATTAGTCATTAAAATATACGTAATAACATAGGCGACTGGAAAGCTAAAAGTAGTACACATTAAATGTTTATAAGCTATTCTCTTTTGTGTTAAATAAAAATCCGTATGAAATGAATGGCATTTATTCTTATTATTTCGCATATACTCTAAACACTTAACATTCCATTCTGAACGTTAGGTTTGCCTACACAATGAAAAATACGTGTATTATCATAATGCCAGTGCATAAAAAATATTTACCGGGAGAAAGATTTCTTTCGTTTGTCGTATTGAAATAAAAATTTTTCAATCGCAGCCTCAATTATAACACATATAATCATATGCTTTTCCTAAAGTATAGCATAAACATTTTTTTTTTTTTAATCATAAGAATCTGATATAAGGGAATATGAATTTTTAAATTATAATTTAAATTCACTTACTATGACAGAGTCGCACTTTCTCACAATAGCGTGTCTAAATCATATTTATCATGAACTTTATGCAACAATTTTATTGTAAACAATAATATTTAAACGTAAAGCGTAACTAAACGTAGATTTAATAGTTCGAGAAATATCATTATCGAGTACTATGTGATAGACAAATTTAATTAATTGGTACGTTTTATTAAAGTTTCTTCTATTTGTGAACATTCTTTGCTCTGTATTTGATAATTACATTAAATGATAATGAAGAGAATTGTCAATTACGATAGTCGTTACCTGTAGGTTCAGTCTATTTTAATTCTGAAACGAATTTTCGGAAATGCAAATCGTAAGAGAAGTATAGTTTTGCATGTACACCTCTTGTTATTTTAATAAACCTTTTGTAGAATGTAGAATGTAGAATAAAATAGACTAATTAGTCGTAATTCTATGCGCATTACCAATTCTAAAATTAGCATATATAAACTTCACAGTAGATGTAACAAAAATATAAAATTTATTTCCAAAAAATAATTATAAATTTATTGATTTAAGCAGGCTCTTTCATAAAATTTCCTCCTCCCTATAAAGCTAAATTAAACGAATTAATAATATTATCATGAGGACAAACACATGGATATTTTGGTTAAAATGTAAATTTACGATAAAGAAGTAGAGACAGGGAGTCACGTGCAATACACGTCTCTTTTCCTTATCATGTCGATGTCATAGGTGCTTCATTTGAATAAAACATGATTGCACAGGTGTGAAAAGGTTGGAAAGTGCGAGTACGCGGAAAATTCAAAGCCGAGAATTATGAAAAGCGATTGAGCGCGTGGATTGGATTCTCGATTCGCCCGTCTCTCTCTCTCTCTCTCTCTCTCTCTCTCTCTCTCTCTCTCTTTATGCTTACACGCAAATTATGTACGTACGTGCACTTATATAAAGAAATTATCGCGCGGTCGAGCGGGACGGTTAAACGTCGGCTACATGCCAGCACTTATGCAGGCGTTGAAATCACCGAGTGATTCGTACGCCTCTTATTTATCGCACGGCTTGGTAATGCACTTTACTTAACCGATCTTTCCACGAAGATTTTCCATTTATTTTACTCCGCCTGCGCCCCCGCTACATCCTCTCATTTCCGTTCCGAAGTAAAAATCGCGTCAAGTTTTGCTACTTGCCGAACTTCTTAATAATGTTGCGAAATAAAAGCATTCCCGAGGGACATTTATTCCATAGATGTTATAATGACTTTATCGACGATTTGTGTGCTTTAGTACTTGCTGCTAAAGCTTGTATTTCACGACGCATTGTCAATTCAATGCTTCTAACACACGAGACGATGATTATGGCATAAAAACTTTAAATTATGGTTTATAATAAATATGGTGATTTGTAATTTTCATTTGTCTTGCGATTAGATTGAATTTCAATAGTGTCTATACGACGTAGCTTTTACCTATCGGTAAATTTCAAACTTGTGGTGAAACATTTATTGCTATGGTAAGATAGTTTTTGAGCGTTATCGTGTACTTTTTTTTTTTAAATATTGTTTTTCCATATAAATATTATTAGCAGATATATATCTACATATGTGTGTGTGTGTGTGTGTGTTTCTCTCTCTCTCTCTCTCTCTCTCTCTCTCTCTCTCTCTCTCTCTCTCTGTGCGTGTGTTTGTGTGTGCGCGGGCGTGTGTGTGCGCGCGCGCGCGTGTGTGTGTGTGTTTGTGTCGTTGAACATACGTGTATGAATTTGTGAAATAAGATATAGTTGAAATTTTGAAATATACTTTGCCATTTAGATTAGTTATCGAAAAAAGAATAAATACTCGTATAACGAATAATAATGGGATGAATTAAAATTAGGATTAAAGTTACAATAAAGAACTATATAAATAAAAAAAAACAACAAAAACTTATTATAAATTAGTGATTGTAAAAATAATGATATCGTTATTTTCCATAATTAATTCAATTGTATGTGACGCGTATGATTAAATATGAAAGTAAATCAAATTTTCTAGTAATTGATATCCACTTTTTCATCATACATCATAATTCATGCAATCAAAACTAATAACGCAATGGAAATAATGCCGACGTAAGAAAAAAAAAGAAAAAAGCAAAAAGCAAAAATATGTCGAAAGCACAAGCTTGATGCGACTAGTTATGTAGCGTCGTCACAAAGAATATCTTGAAAACGAAAGAGAGTAGGATTACATCCATCATTGCGTTCCTGCTGTCATTGTATGCATATAGGAAAGCCACGCAATAGCATCGATGCGCGGGAACGTACGACGCATGATCCATCTAACCGAAGTGCACCGATTGTGACATTAATTGCAAATGTAAAAAGTATCGGTGAATTGCGGAAGACGCGTGATGGGCGATGCGCCAACGCTCCTCGAATTCCCTCATCCGGTGCTTCCCTCGTTTCCTTCGCGACCACACCATACGCGATTCACGCGGATTATGCGCTCGTCCGTTTTCACTTTTTATGTCGATTGCCGCCGTGATTTCGCCTTGTCAATCCTCTCGCGTTGGATCGAGCCAGAGCGCGAGAAAGTGGGTTGGAAGGCTCGCACGGAGTTTACTAAATTTAAGTCAATTTTTTTTCTTTTTTTCTTCTATCTTATTAATATTTACAAGTTAGTTTCTTTGGAAAGTATTAACTATTAAGCTATCGTTAGCATATTGATTTTACGTTGATAAATGGCTTTTATTAATGCCAAGCTTACATTTATGCGGGTCCCGCGTAATGTTCCCTCCCATTATTAACATTAACAATTTTTATATCTTATAATGGCTTTTAATATAGCTGATGCATTGGTTTATGGCCAAACAATCATGTAAGTATTAATGATTCGATGGAGTCAATGAAATGTAATTTTACCGCAATTCGAGTTAATCAGTTAAATAATTGTCTAATGAGATATCGGTTACAATGTAAAATGTGCGCCAAATAGTTCGTATTAAGTACACCTGTTATTAACTAATTTCATACATCGACATCTGTCGAATATCATTACGTTGAAAGCATTTTGAGTATGTAATAAATTTAGATTAAATTTATTTGATACAATGAGTGAATAAAGTAATACCTTCCGAATAAGAGTTTTTATAATTATTACAAATATCTACTAAAATTAATAAACACATCCTTTCTAAGCTCGTATACATTAAATTTCTAAATCAAACACTCATTTTATTCGTATTTTTATTTTGCATTATTCTCGATATTTACCATGTAGTTGGATATTGAAATATTTTTCACCGTTATTAATTTAGAATAAATTTATGCTAATGAATAATGAATTTTTATTACGCCCTCTATTCGATAAAAGAACACTATATGATATTTACTATATGATATAAAAGTTAAAAGGGCAAGATTACGGAAATTAAGAAATGAGAAACAATTTAAAATGCAAATTTTAAAAAATTTACGTCACACAATGACAAATATTTGAAATTGGCTATTAGTGAGTGAGACATGTATGTTGATGAATCAAACGTTAAATGAAACGCAAAGCTTGAAATGTAACGTAAGAATACAAGTAATTACCATCAAATGAATAAAATTGAATTATATGGATAAATTATTAATTAATAAACCAGTGTTGATGCTTGGAATCTTAAATAAAATAAAAGAATAATAGAATTTAACGTTAGCTATACATCGATATCTAATCTCCTATTGAACTGTCAAATTCACATAAATACGAAAATCAATCCTGTATTATCAATGAGAGATTATAGTTTTCGTAGAATGATTGTTATTATGAGCAAATCGTCCGCTAACAACGCCGCTTAACCGGATAACACTGAATTAAAACGTAAAAATGCACATCATCATGCGATAAGGCGCATGCGCTAACGAGCTTCCACGTGTCTTGCGAGGGACTCGAAGAGATTCTTCAACTTATCCCGTCTCTCTCTTTCTCTGGTTAAAAATCTTAATCGGATCGCTGGTGATTTCAGCTT